CATAGCATTATCTGGCCGTCACAGTCTTCTGAGTATATTTATGCTATACGAGACTTATACAAAGGAACACTACAAAACGAAGTCTGCGTTTAATTGGTGTTAGTTCGTAACGATAAGCTCGGTAATACTTTCGTTTAGCGTGCTTGTTCAACTTGGACACATGTCGGCACGCTTAATCAAACGAATCCCATTGATTAAAAGTTGCAACCACTAAACAGGTATGAGAGCATTTGTGCTAACCTGTAAATTTTTGAGCGTCCTTGGGCGAAGCTCGACTTTGTTTAATATATTATAATAAAAATGTTAAAAAAACGCGGTGGAAAACCAATAAAATAGTTTGCATTGGTGATCGGATCCTGTATTCGATTGATTTATCTTAGTATATTTGCTCAAGAACAAGAACAACGCAGTTACGAATGGAGTACGACATTTACAAAAATGACATGATGAAACAGTAAGCAGTGTAGCTGTTGCTACTTACCACTTGTAGCATTGACTGCATACGCGTTAATTACAAAGTCTAAGGCAAAATAGTCGCCCAAATAGCAGCCACTGAATCGAGTTCATCGCCACGCTTTCCATAGAATCCACCCACCTGGTAACCCTCCTGAGCACTCTCCTTACCAACCTCATTCGTCGGTGTTCCACCTGAGATAGAGTTGTTCTTATTGGTGGTGAGCTTGATGTACGAGATGCGCTTTCGACCATCCTTCTCACCAGTATGGGCCTCGATGCTTATGATGTACTCGCCCGGGTTAAGAGTGAGTGTTTGTGGATCTCCACCTTCCCCGCCAACGTAGTTTGTAACCGGCTCCCCTGCCAAATTTTGGTGAATGATGCCAATGCCGTTGACGCGCTTGCCGGTACGGATCGTAACGCCCTTCACAACTTCTCCTGGCTCAACGGCGTCCCGATACTCGTACGCATCGTTGCCAGTGCCGCCGAATTCCAAGCCAGATAGAAGTGGGTGTAGTGGTCTTTTTCCCGCCGGGGGGTCTGTAGCGTTGTTTGTGAACTGCTCCTTGATGTCCGTCGCGTAGTCCTTGAGCTTTCCAAAATCAAGAGCGCTTGTGGTGCCTGCCACTAGCACCACCGCCACAAGAACCTGGAAAATACATCTCACCATTTTCGCCTTTTATCGGTAAAAGGTGAATTCGATAATGACTGAACCTCGCAGGCTTGCACGAATTGCCGCCCACACGATCCAGGACTCACTCCTGATGGGATCAAAAACATGATCTGTCGACATGCGATCCAATAAAAATGTAAAGTACGGTGTTATGTCGTCTAATCAAAACCCATAGTTTCAGAACGCCATGCCTGAAATTCGTTCTATTGGCACAAGTTACGATGACAACTATTGCAGTCTTATGAAAGGGCTGAAACAAACACTGTGCAGTTCTATTAATGCAATATGTAGAATTAGAATGATAACGGATCAGCAAACAAATCTAAAGGCTCTGATACGAAACCAACCACATTACTCGTAAGTCTATGAACTCAGAAAAAAAAAAAAACAATTGCCATGTCCAAAGGGGTCCTTAATAATTGTACCAAAATTGACCAGTAAATTCAGTGCTTGTACTTCCTCTGCCAATTTTCGATTCTCACCAGATGGAGAATCACAGGATTGAACATGCACACCTAAATCCATGAACATACATACGTGTCACACTTTCCTACATGTTACAGTTAATCCACGTTAGTCTTCAGGACGGTTACAACTTGATAACCCATCCAACCAAAAAAAGGAGACAAGATTTAGGCTGTGCTATACTGCACTAATGCGCGAGGACCGATTTTTTTTTTTGAACTTTTGGGTTTACACCTAAAATATTCGCACGGCGATAAAATTTTAGATGATGGACGGCATGGATCCATTTCCCACGATGAGAGAGTTTGTCCAGGGAGACGGAACTGTGTGTGTATTTCTTGCGCTAACGCAATAGCAGAATAAAATATCATGAGTGTTCGAAGGATTGAGCTTTTCAGTACCGTGGAAATCCCATTCACCGTGAATAACCATGTATATTACGCGGTCGGTGTCAATGTGAATCGGGAGTTTTAAGATGATTCTCAGACGCGCCGTTCTCGTCAGTCATCATTTTTTTTTTTTTTTTTGATTTCTTTAGGATTCCGTCCTTCATTCGTCACAATAAAACATTTCCTAACGGAAAAAGAGCAAAAAGAACTCTATAAAATGAAATTAAACCAGGAGTTTACGTTCCCAATGCAACTACGTCTCCATCAGCGAAAATGCACCGATCCATGCATATTTGACATCGACAGATCACCGCCAACTGCACGCTCCATAGTAGCAGACAACGCGTCCGTAGTAAAGTCAGCATCCAAAGGATGCGTACCCACCCGCGTCTTGCCACGTTTCGTACGAATCACGAGCAATCCAGGCTGTTGCTGTCTGTGACTGTGGCCAACAGCCGTCTCGATCAACTTCCGGACCGGGTGCTGCTGCGTCTTCCAGTCCACATACGCAATACTAAGACTCTTTGAGTGACGGAACCTTTTAGCGACTTCCTTTGCTGCTTGCATCTCCTGCTCACGCTTCTTCTTATCACCCGACAAAACGAATACAGCGCACAGAGATGACGAGCCCGATGTGGCATGTTTGCCAATATTACACAGCTTGGCCTCATTACCAGCATGTAATTTCTCAATCTCACCCGTCTCCCGCATACGTTGCAAACGTGCAATATGCTTCTCAATAGCGAAATTATACACTTCATACTCGTCCACTTCACCGACAAATTTCGTGAGTTGGCCTTCCCAAATGTACGCAAACGTCGGGAACTTGTCGATGCCATTGGCACGACACAATTTTGAGTACTTATCGCAGTTCACGGCACCTACACGCACTTTGCCATTCAGATCGCGTGCCACATTTTCGTATTTACCGCGGAACTCGGCCATTGGTGCGTCCATCTCGTAGAACTGCACGAGCCACTCGTTGTTCGCGTCTTTGCCGGGGAATTTCTTCTTCGACAGCGACTTTACAGGCGACTCGGGTCCATACAACGTCGTGGG